TACTTCTATCACCAACTGAGAACCTCTGCTGTAGACTGACCAAGTATGTGACAAAATGAGACATAAAAAAAAATCAACATTAAGCTAACTATTAGTAAAACGTAAATGTCACTTCTTTCAAATATGTTCAACCTATTATAAGTGTAAAATATTTAATGCTACTTGATAAACTGCATGAAGTTTATTTTATTCTCAAACTTATTGATAATTATGTTAATTAATTCATGTTTAGTAATACAGTCAAAAGTCTTTAATCCGGACTCGTCGGGACTTCGGCGATTCCGGATTATCGATTTTTCCGGATTATAGATCATCAGTTAAATCTGGTAAGATGGCATGCAGAAATTATAAAATTAAAAATATGAAACCGTAATTTATAAAATAATGAGCAATTATGATCTAAAGATCAAAATTTACCAAAAAAGAAGCCTAATATTTATTTGTTTACTTTATTAAACATTTCTTTCAACGCGCGGATGCGTAAAGCATACCTTACGCACAGCCGAAATTAGAAAATTGCAACCAGAAAACTATTTGATTTGTATTCGTGATATTTATAATGACGAGGAATTTGATTTAAATCATATCAAAGACGGAGTACACCGAAATTAAATACTACATTTAGTAAGGAATTATAAGCCGAATAAAATAAAAACATCTGCCCTGAAGGTAACGATAGTGTTGACAAATCAACTTCCAGTTCATTGCGCGCCGCGACGTCCCCCCCTTCCCCGCGCAGAGCAGCGTGAAATTGATAAACAGATTTCGGAACGGTTAGATACACAAAGAATATGCCTTTATCCATTTTTTGTAGCAATTCGTTTTTTGTTTGATGGACATCGAAACATACTTTCGTTTTCTAGATCCTTTGGGAGCTCCAGCATCGGAAATTCTATTTGACATAATCGAAAGTTCAAGCTTACTTTTAGAAAATTGCTCTTACAGTCTGCAAAAAATAATAAGCCGGATCCAATTCGAAGATTAAAGAACAACGCAATCATCAACATTAACTGAAATAGATAATTAGATAATTTTAGCTTATACCGTCCGTTATATATTAAACGCGCACGCGAAAACGTATTCTGCACTTGCGCAGACGCATATGCGCAGTGGTAAATGTCTTGCGCGCACGAGTAAAACGCCTATGCGCATGCTTCAATGCGGCGCATGCGCAGAAAGATTTTAGCTTTGAGGTCCGGATTATAGATCATTCCGGATTATGGGTGTCCGAATTAACGACTTTTGACTGTAATGCATACTACTTGGGGATCTATTTTATTTTTAGGACAGTATTACAAAAGTGAAATTCAGGCATAGAATTATATTTTTTTATTTTTTTATGAAATTACAGTCTTCATTCATGTTACGCTGTATATAGCTTATTCTTAATTGAATTTAGTTCATAGTATCCCATTTGCTTTCTTTTTCTTTTTTTTCATTTGTTCCTTAAAAGAAATTTTCTTCATTTTCTTTTCGTTTGAAATGTGAAAAACGTTTACGAACTGTGGGGATAGCTTATTTCACGTTAAAAAAATGAATAAGAAAAGTTCCTGTTTCATAGATGAGCATGTGCAATTCATATTGAAGATATTTCTTTCCAAGGCTAAACTTCATCGGAATCAAAATGCTATCAAGTCGGGAAATAAATAAGTTAAATAAAAATCACATATCTTTGTATCTATAATTATTATGCATCAAAGAAAAATTTTTATGAGAATGAAACTAGGTTGTTATTTATTCTCGAGTTTGTCGTACTCGGGAAAGATTCTAGGTTATACTCAATTTAATAATCAATCCCGCTGAAAAATAAACAAAATAAACAATAATTTACTGATTAATTAAACATGTTAGAATTTTTTGATAGAAATGCTAGTCTAGCAATTTAATATTTAGCTGTCAGTATACTTGAATTGCAAAGTGTAAGCAACAAAAATGTTTTACAGCTTGATTTGCAGATTGAAAATTCCTTTATGCTATTATTATTCATTATGTTTTGGTAAATGTTTAGTGAGCAAACTTTAATATTTTAATTTTTTCATTTAAAAAGAAAAAAATGAAAGGGGAAAAAATAGTCTCTTCAGTTGTTTACATACTGTGCATGTGGCCCACATAAAATTTGAGACCACTGACCTATAAAATACCTGGAGCCTATGCTAATGACAGACATAATTCTGTGCTCATTACAATAAAATTTGTCAACTGTTTAAGACAAGTGAGATAAGTCACAACAAACAATTATTTTTCTTCATGGCCTTGTTTGTAAACAATTTCTAAAATGTTACATTTTTTTAAACTTAATATATAGCTAAATACAGAGAATATGCAGTGGCCAAAACTGTGGACACTTTTGGAAATTTTTGTTTTTGAACTCTGTATGCATATAGAAAACGTTATGTTTCACAAAATGCAAACTTGTATATATGATTTTAAAGAGAATTTATTACTGAATTCAATTATTTGCAATAAAAAAAGTTAAACAATAATAGTTATCGATATACATTAGATAATGATGATTGCAGTGAGTTATCAGTACTTAGTAGGGTACCCTTTATTTTTTATTACAGCTTCACATCGACGTTTCATTGAGCTGACAAAGCTCAATGAAACGTTTTAAGCTCTTCTTTCATTATTACATGATGCCAGGAAACAATTATAGCCTCAATTAGTTCCCTTTTATTTGATGGGCGCCTCATTCGGACAAGAGTTTTCAAACGGTGCCACAAATTTTCGATAGGATTGAGGCCAGGACTGTTTCCTGGCCATGACAACAATTTAATGCTCTTCGTACAAACCACTCTTTCGATATTTTGGCAGTGTGGCAAGGAGCAGAATCCCGCTGAAAAATAAACAAAGCATTGTTGGGAAAGAGATCTCTGGAAGGTAGAAGTTTTAGTTCTAGAATAGTGTCAATGTATTTTCTGGCGTTCAGTGTCCCATCGATGACATGAAGGCGACCAATACCATCTGCTGACATGCATGACCAAGTCATAACACTAAGTGGGTTCTTCACAGTTGCTTGAATACAGTCAGGATGTAGCTCTTCTCCTATTCTAAGTCTTACATATTTTCGCCCATCACTACCGAATAACGATATCTTAGTTTCATCACTCCATATAACTTGTGACCACTGATCATCTGTCCAGTTAATGTGTTCCTTTGCCCACTGTAGTCTTTTTTTTTTTTTTTTTTTTTTTTCGTTGCTGAAAATTAAGATAAGGCTTTTTTCGTGGAATTCTACCTCTCAGTCCAACATCTGTTAATCTTCTCTTGATTGTTCTTGAACTGACAGAAACACCAGCATCATTCAGATCACTTCTGATGACATTTTTCTATCTTGGAGACAGTCTTTTTATTCTTCTGTCATCAATAGATGTGGTGCACATTTTTCGGCCTTTTCCTTCTTTGTTTTTTATTGAACTTGTCTCCTGATATCGTAAACAAAACTTTCGGACTCCAGATGTAGTCACTGAACCACCCAACCCGTCTTGCAATTTCAGCATAGGAAAGACCACTTTCTCGTAACACAATAATATTACATCTCTTTCTAGGTGTCCAATCTATTCTTTTACTTGATGTCATTGCTTCTTGACTAAATATTAAAATTTTTTACAAAACTTCCTACTTGTAATTGCAGTGTATAAGAAACAGGCCCTCCTTCTACAGAACAAAGCAAAATAATGAATTGTTTCAAGTGTAAACATGATGTCAGCTTCTTACTGGCAGTTACTAACATTTGATTGGTTCTCAGAACAAGAACAGTGATTGGCCAGGAAAGCTAGACATTATAAACCACTTCATAACTGTGTTTTTTATCTATATTAAAGTATATATAACTTTTTTGTATTGCAAATAATTGAATTTTGTGTTTTGTATTCAATTCGGTAATAAATTCTCTTTAAAATGATATATACAAGTTTCCATTTTGCGAAACGTAACATTTTCTATAAGCATACAAAGTTCAAAAACGTAAAAATTTCCAAAAGTGTCCACAATTTTGACCACCACTGTATGTGCTCTAAACTATGCAGGAAAAAAAATACATGCATGGGTCATCGCCACAATCACTTTCCTCATTTATTTTCATTGCAACATAGTAAATAGCCATCTGTTGAAAATTCGTTATTCCTGATAGGAACCAGCAAGTGTGCATTCATTTTTTTTACTGCATAAAATTTCAGGAATCTTCAGATATTTCAAGCCATAAAACAATTTTATATTTTGATGCTTTTTATAGCTCCCCAACTGTCAGCGACAAACTTAAATTGCTTGCAAAATGCAAATTTTTAGACTGATCAATGGATTCCATTATGTAATTAACCAGTTTTCCTTCGTACAACATCTTCAAATTTTTTATTACCTCTGTGCCCTTTTGCTGCATATTGTTTTATTAGGAGGAAGAAATTCTAGATTTATATTTTTTAGATTATCTAAATCAGGGATGTTTAGACCAGATATGATCCCGGGCCAATACAAATTACTAAATAGATTGGAGGGCAGCACAAATTAAAAAAAACACATTTTTTTAAGAAAAGGTTTAATAACATAATAAAGTTATTTGTAATACCATATAAAATCATTTCTACCAACAAAATTTGAAAAAATTTAAAAATTTATTCTTCCATTGTAATATTAAAAACACACCGTGGGTCGTGCTTTGGACAGGCCTGATCTAAATTATCTATAGTACAATTATTGAGAAGAAGTAAAATGCTTATGTTGTAATCCTGTCTCAACTTGTAAGTCATTTAGAAAAATTTCAGAAGTCACTCGCGCATTACTATTGGCATGATACTGCACTGGTAAACTGTACATTTAACCCTTTACAGCAGTATTTATCAATCTTTTTTCAAGTGGGGACCACTTTTATCAATTAGAATAGTCTGTTGCTGTATTTATGATAAAGTTTATTCAAATAGTGGCATGGGCAGAAATTGTAACTTCTTGTGTAGTTTGTTGAATTTAATTACTTCTGTACTTTAAAAGAAGACTCAACTAATGAGTATAACTCAAGAATTCAAAACTTTTATTATTACATTTTTAAACAGTTCACATGACATTCAGTTAGCACAGTAATACGTGCATCACAACAACGAAATGCTAAGTTAAAGTTATTTTTAGTTACAGTTACAGTTGTAGTTAATTTAAATATACATCACAGAAATGACGCCCTGGGAATCTGCAAAATATCACATAGAGGTCTGGTCTCTTAAATAATACCCCAATTTTTAGCAATTCAGCAAGGATGGCTGGGCATGTGTGCAGTTGTCAGTTCTATGTCTAGCAGTTATGAAAGTTCCTGTAGTTTTCCCTACCCTCTTTGTCAATTTTCAATCCTCTGTGATGGCCAGTTAAGTCTGACAATAGTTTTATTAAAATGTTATATGAACCTCTATACTGTTATTCCCTTCAAAAGCAATTTTGTTACCATACGTTACTTACCAGTATACTTGTTATGATTTAGGCTGTGGAAATGAAGAAACATTTTCTATGCAGAGATATCAGTTGTTTTGCAATTAACCGGGTGAAGATGGATAATTACTCATTGCAATTATGCTACATTATAGATGACTGCACTTTTGAAGAATCATAAAAAAAATTTTGCCGCAGCATAAATTTATTTTCGGAAGAATGATTTAGTACATATCTGCTGAAACTCCATTTTTTGTTCTGTTATGAATAAGTACTTTACAATAACAGTACAACATCTTTCCAAACAATTGACAAAGTCAACACACAATTATTACATGTAGTGAAGCAGGAGCTAGAAGCAGAAAAAGGAATGACGAAGTAACAGCAGGCTATTTATATGAATGCAAAGTCGTTGCCTAGATTCTAAGGAGAGATTGGTTAGAATTTTCGGCAGTGTGGAACACTGAAGAGCTTGGATTTTAAGAGGGTATGCAATTGAATTTAAAGGGCTATTTCTAATTAAGTTAGTGATTTATTTTTTTTTGTACTTTACTTAATTATATTTTTAAAAAAATTAATGAAAATTTTTATTTGTTTTTAATAATTCAAAGTTATTTGAAGAATCTTTACTGTATAAACTAAATAAATAATTGTAGGTACTCCTATTAATAATATGGATGAGCCTGCCAATTCTTGCATAGCCATTCTATGTCTGGATATATGCTAGTAAGCACTACTACAGTTGGTGCTTTAAATCCCTCTTTTGTTGCTAAAATTGGAGTGGGAAGTCCATATGTAATCGGTTATCAATTTCGGAAAATGTTTTAGTCTTAGGAGAAAAAGGTGATATAAATTTTCCATGTGTAGTTTCCAAACTGAATTTTTTTATTTTTTTGGAAAACTAGGAGGATCCTAAGAACAAGTTTCAAGGATCACTCATTGAAAAACATTACCTTAAAGCATCAAGGCTTAGCAATTTTTTCTTACGATTAGTAATTTTTCTTTAGCAGTACCCACATAAATTGCATAGTAATACTTTCCGTATTCTTTTACATCCTGGCAGTGTAATGTGCTTATGATAAAGAGCAATCTGTTGTAGCATGATAACAGAAGCCAGTTTTATCAGTATTGGAAACATCATCTGAATAGAAATTCTCTAAAACAGTATGGCTTTTAGTTTTTACCACTGTTTGGTACTCACACTATGTTCACTATCCTTTTTTTAAATTAGATATTGTGTCTTGGTGGAAAGCAAGACAACCAACCATCGGTTGCTTCAAAATTGTTATGGCCCTGCTTTTTAGCAGTCTCCTCAGACTTTTCCAGTTCGAACCCAGAAAACAGGTCAGTTTTCCCCACGTGCAGTTACCCTTAGAAAAGCATAAAACGCATCTTTCCTCTTAGGCAGACAGCCCTTGTACTTTGCCATAATCAAGTCACCTAACCTCGGACTCTGCCTTCAGCACTGGGCTACTATTCACATCATGTCTCTTCCTCAGCGTGATGGAATTTTTTTCTCTAATACCTACTCATGCAGGTTTTTTTTTTTTTTTTTTTTTTTTTTTTTTTTTTTTTTTTTATGGTGGTGGTTGTAGATGTGCTGTGGTAGATTCTGGAGCATCAGTTTACATCAACATGTCTACGATGGCTTATATTCCAGTACTTGACTTTTAATTTTATCTAACAAAGCATTTTTGTTTGAGGGCATAAAACCATTGCTTGGCATCTTTGCTAAGATTAAAAAATTTAGTTATATTCAACATTGTAAATGGATATTGCTAAGTACTATGCAGTACAATAGTACATTGCTATGTACTATATACAGAATATTGGTTAAGTAGATACATTGTACCAGTGTTACCAAATATTGACATAATATGAAACATTTGACAAATGTTGACATAATTTTGAAAAATCCTGAAAATACAGATAAAAAAATTACTAAATTCCATCTCTTTCTTTTGTCCCAATCAATGAGTATTTAAATTGTGTACTACTTTGGGTTTTGTTCTTTGAGATCTGGCCCGAAAAAGCAGCTGATATTATTAACTAGTGTTTCATTTACATAGAATTGACTGTATTTCTCATCTCAATTTTTCTTTTTATTAATTAATGAATAATTTGGAATGAAATTACACTTGCATTTTCAAAATACAGTCTTTCTTGTACCATTTCATTTTCTTAATTTTCGTCATTATAATTTACTTGATGTAAGAATTTGAATTATGCATGTTAAGCTGCAGAGTGTCATCCACATTCAGGTAGTCAGTCCTCTAACAACTGGTTCGAAAATTCAGTCATTAAAGAAGACAAGCATGACTTAGAAGAGCAAAATCTAACCTTTAAAGTAATGCTCCAGGACATAGTACTGAAGGAATCACAACATTGCATCCAGATGTAGAGGTTTTATTCCTTCCACGAAACATCATTTCCTTAATCCACCAATGGATCAAGAAATAAAAAAAAAAAAAATAAATAAATAAATAAATAAAAAAAAAGAACCTTTTATGTTGGGTATGTTTACATCTCTGCAAAATAAAGCACTAGACAAAGAAAAGCATGCCATACTAATGGCATTTTGAAAGCAATTTAAAGTACGACACTATATAAAAATGATTAAACTCGTGTGGGAATGTGAATTCATCAACAATGAATGCTTGCTGACATCAAAACTGACCAAATGTTATCAACAGTTTTAAAGGATTATCATGAACTGAAAATTAATTCAAGGAAATTGTACAAATTACATAAGTAATAGGCGGTGAAGAATTCTAAGATACAGAAGAAAGAGAAATCAAAGAATTATTTGAGAGTGATGATCGTAAAATAACAAATTGGATGATCTTATAACACCAACTAATGGTGAAAGCAATGATAGTGAAGACGATAACAGCTTATACGATATTAGCTTTAATGTATAAGAAGTTAAATGAATTGCTAGAAAAGGTACAAGAACTATCTAATTTTGTTATGAAGAAAGAATAAAACACTTTAGAAGGGCAGTGAAAAACTTAGCAAGCCTTACTGTAAAATGTTTAACAAATTATGTCAAGACACTGTCTCAAGCAAAAATCATCAGCTATTTAAAAATAATAGTATTATACACCTGCTTTTTAGACAGTAATATAAGTTTACTTCAGTTACCCGTTTGTTTCATTTTTTTTAATTAAATAATATTTACGTTTGCATAAATTACACATACTTTCTTAATCTGGACTATACATATATTTTATTCATAGAAAGTTAACTTTGTGGAATGTGATTTTGCTATATGTGCGTTAATGACATAAACCACATATTCGACAAGGGTTTACTGTGATTTATTCTTCAGAGGATGGATTTCCCATATAATGTCTATTTTTTAATTTAATTTTTTGCTTTCCGTTTAACTTACAATAGCAGTAAAATCTTAAAAACAGAAATAAAAGTTTGCCACATTAGTACAAGGTGTCATAAAAATAAGGTTGGGAAATAAATAACTATAGAAGTACTTATTTAGTTTGAATAACATTAAAATTTTCATTTTACTTGTATATTAATATCAAAATAAGAATTTTCCACAGTTTTTATAAGTTTCATTTTTACTTAACAAGAAAGCTGAAATGCATTTCGAAAACAATCAATCTGAAATATGGCACAGCACATATATTGTTGTGCGAGTAGTTTTTTCCTAGTATACTTATTTCCCTGGCACTTTCATCAGTTTCCCTAACTTGCATGTTTAGTGGAAATAGTAGCCTCCTCATGCAAAGAATGAATATATTGCCATTTTCAAACTAAAATTTAATATTAATTATTCCATATATTTACTACACAAAATGAAAGAAAAAAATTAGAAACTGTTTGTCCTATTAAAAATTAATAATATAATTTTCAGTATTCAGCTATAAAATTACATATACAAGTTTTAAATGATTTACAGATTTTAATTTATATAAAATATTTTAATCTTTTAAAATATTTCATTAGATTACACACAGACTGTATTTAGCTTTGATGCCTCTATGTACATAATTGTTAACATTTAGTATCACGAAATGCTTATCATAAATATATTATTTATTACTTTGCAATATGTTAAAAAAATTAATAGAGGTATATAAAATACTGAGCTGGTTGTCAGAATAAAGTCTTTCGCACTTCTGATGCTTTTGGAAACCTACAGGAAAGTTTAGGAGCAGCAAGACTTAACGGAGTTACAGCTTTGCTCGTCTGTTTTAACAATGTAGCTCTGAAAAGAATAGAATAACTACGTTAGTAATACATATGAAAATAAAAGTTGCATTTCAAAAGAAAAATTTATCTATTTTTATGTTCAAATTAACACCGATTTTACAGTTCACCAAATTTGACTTGGCATAGTTCATTAACATCAGCTATTACAGTTAATGCACTTTTATCTGAGGAAAATGCAGAGTGCTATATAACACTGCATTCATATATGGTATAAAATATTTAGTTTGTTGTATAAATTTTGCACTGTGAAATGCAACACTCAGTAAAGTATTATGGGCCGCACAGATGGTATAGTGGTTAAAGGAGCCTGAGTGCGATACCGAAAAGCCCGGGTTCAAATTCTGGAGAAGGTATGTATTGTCTGTCCCTTCATAGGAAGCAACAGTGGCCCACCTATTAGGTGCCTCCACAATAAAGAGACCAGCACATCTGGGCTTAGGAATGGCCAATGTCCACCATTGGGGGGGGAAGGTATCATTATGATAATGTAGAACTATGTAAAAGAGCAAGATGGATATCTACGACATTTTGCCGTTGGTCAAAATGCGGCTGTGATAGAGTTGTTAGTACTTGTGAGAAATAACTTTAAACTCTTACATGCAACATGTATGTCAAAAATGTGTCATTACTGATTTTGATAACACTTTGAATATTTGTTTCATTGTCTACACTCAAAATTTATCAAAAGTTACCTTCTCCATGAAATCCATATCCTAATTAGTGTAATGCAATATGTTTCTTGTAATATCTAAGTTGAAGATCTTGCCCATCAGAACTTATGACACAATTTTTGCAGCAACTTAACATATGTCCTCAACCAAAAGTTGCTCTCAACCAAAGGCAACAGCCAAACTATTTGAAAATTCCTTTTATTTAATATTAGTTAACAAATCATGCTGATTAAAATTAGGCAAAAAAGCAACCTTAGATTGCATAGATTATGAATAAAATTCTATCAGTTTGTAAAGTGATCAGACACAGGTGTCTCTTTGGGAGCAAACAATGTTTTTGCTCTTTCCAATAATGTTGCTACACTATTATTTCAAAGAGAATTTAACTTGGCAATATGGGTCTACTGTGGCCTTACATTGTCCCCAGCATACTTGTATCATTACATCAGTCTAGCATAGCGATAAATGAAATTGATCTGACAAAATGAACTGTTGTCATGCTACAGAGGTTAAATTTTGAATTCTTAGTATCCACAGCACCAACTGTTCAAAACATGTTTAATCATGTGCAATCTTTTTGAAAAAATCAGTTCCTGTTTACATTTTGATGGATTTGTGATCTTACAGAAATCTTCAATCTCTATGTAATTCATCAATTCCATCTTATATGACTGCTATTTTAACAATACTAAGTAAAATGGTTAAAACAGAAATTTGTGATGGAACATTTTTCCATATATTTTATATATGAATGATAATATACTGGAATTATAGCAATAAAGTTATAATACTCTCATCCAGCAATTTTTCAAACTGATTCAATATCATAAATGCGTTTTCTTATTTTTTCACCTTTAAATCATGTTTTTCACCTTCAAATCCCAGTCAAAAAAAAAAAAAAAAAAAAAAAAAAATTACTGAAATTCTTAATGTTACCCCTCAGTGATCATTTGAGCTGCCTCAGAATATTAAGTAAGAAATAAGAGAAACCTCTTGAATGACAAGTTAGGCCAAATAGCAAACTGTTGACAACTGGCAATTTCCCACACTCTATGTACACAGTACTTGCCAAACTGCATGCAATTCATGTCTGTACTAATAATTAGATTAGGCTACCATGAATGCTGATTGTTTCATGCTTATTTCTATAATTTCTGAAGCATTAATCAAAGAATAAGACATTTTTATGCAATACAATTAATATCTGTCTGGAACCAATGAAAATGAAAATACCTTTCTAACATTATGACTTTTATCAGGTTTTCATGTGTAGATAAAGAAGAAAACGGGATATTATTACAAAAAGAAAAGTATATAATTATATATTTGTATTATAAGGCCTAATTTGAGTAAGGTATTCTTTTTCTATAATGTCTTCTCAAAAGATTGTAGATGCTTAATTTCATGAACAAAATATTACACTTAACATCCTTTCTTAAAAAAAAAAACAGGAATATAAGAGATAACATATTTTATACATTTTGAATACTTATGGATTTATTAAGAAACCTAACAACAGACAAAGATATATTGAATACATTGGTCTTTTGAGAAGAATTATTTCAATATATATAAAAGTCAAAGTCTGAAATCCAAACATCCAATATCCAAAATGATTTAATATCTGGTTTACCAGCCAATAAAATAATGAAAAAAAATCCTCCCCCAATAAAAGCCTAAAAATAAAGAATACACTCAACAAGAAGCAGGTGTACCGAAAATTCTTCTTCCATCTAACTGAGATTCTTGTATGTTGCTTTCAAACACCTGATAATTAGGTAGAAGCACCATAGCTAGTCACAATGTATTGATGTTGGCCAGGATTATGTTTTGGGTCTTTGAGTGGGTTTGGAAGGCCCAGGGTCAGAATTATGCCTTTTGCTATCTGGTGCAAACGCTGTGAGCCCTACTGGTGCCATTTTACTGCTTAGTATCTCCTTATATTATTTTTAAAATATGGGTTTTAATTTCTGTTGTCCACTGGCACTGTTAACCATCTGGGTTAACACTTTTCTACCTGATCTAAACAACACACCAAGCCCCAGTGTTGCTATGTGTACATGTCATCTTACTATATTTAAACTAATGATCTAAAGTCTGGAATTGCTGAAGTTCTGATTCCAGACTTCACACTGTACTTGTGGAAATTTTAATACTATCAATGTGAATGAAATGATTATAACAGTATTATTGCTATGAATAGCATGAATGAAATCAATAAGAACATGGTTACACTTTCACCACAAAATACTGAAATTCTGCTGGCATACAATCCTTTTGAGATTGTTAGTTCTTTATCAAATAACAAAAGTTTCTTACACACACACACACACACACAAAAAAAAAAAGCTATGATGTATTCATGGAAATTCAAATGAATATAATTTATGTTATGTGACTCAGGACAAGAAAATGGACAGAGAATGTTTAAATAAAATCTTCGTACTCAATGGTTTTAATTCTGTAATCCACAAATATTGGAAAGTAAATGCCAAAAGCAAGCATTTGTAAATAAACAAATATTTTTATAAGCATGTGTTTTTTATCATGTTTATAAACTGATTAATTTTATGCTGTTTTTAAAATACCATTTTCTTATCATAATTAAAACAGAGCATTAATTCTTTTTAAATTGGAAACGCATATTATTTTTAAAAGGCAAACATATGAGAAAAATTTAGTAAATAAATATGGCATACCGGACAAATTTTCTCCATTTGTAAACACATGGATATCTCTGAGGGTCAACATCACAGTTTTTTAAGGCTACGCACATATCGATATCATGCTTGGACACAGGAGACCTAATATTTTAATCAGCAGAAAAAAATGTGAAAGCAATTGCATATTTTTGAGTTTTCTCTAAAATATTCAAACTGATAAAATAATATATGTTCAAATAAAAGCAATATTTATCATCACTTAATATGAAAAAGGCAAATTACAAAATTATACAAAACAACACATTACAGAAAAATGTACATAGTCATATACTTAATTTTTAATCAAATTGCAAGAAAATGCAATTCTTAAAATTGTTCATTATTCAAACATACTTTGCACTGATAATTCATACATGCTGATTAATAACAATAATATTTATTTCAAAACAAAAGTATATAGAATTTAATAGAAAATATCTGGTTTTGGGGCATCTTCAATTATTTTGTTTGAAATTAAAGTAAATAACTAAATTTTAAAAAATGCTATAAATTACCAAAGAACTTATACATTGCAAATTTATTTATTTTCACCATGATGATACTGGATATCAAGGACATTTTATTTGCCCTGATATAATCTTTATTTCTTCCTTACATTCTTTAAAATGAGAATAATAGCCAGATCCTATTGAACCTCATCTCCCCTTAATTTTTTACTACCTTTCTTATCATTCTCTTTCATGTCTGTAAAGGTGCATTGACGACAGGTTGGCAACATAAAGTGATATGAACACATTTTTGATATATACTTTATACATTAATAAGATAATAACAGGAGAAAAACAATTATCTATTCATCATCTATCATTTTTAATCCAACATGTATACAGTACTTCTCTGTGAAAGTGTTGTTCATAACTCTGTATGTAATATACTGATAAAAATGTTGATCATATACATTGTGTAGACATTAGGTTATTTCAAAACAGGAGACATGAAAAATGCACTGGGACTCGAACCACAGACCTGTCAAATACACACCAAACATGCTGACCACACCACGAAGGCATACTAAAAAGGCGGAAGAAATACCTTATATACTCCCCTTTTTTAAAGGGCAACTGGGGTTTTTAGGGGGGCCAATTGCCAAATCTTGGATGTGGAGAGTCATCATCCACCACCCTTTTAATTCGGGTGCCACTGTAGAGACATTGGGTATTTTTTTAAAGCAGAAGTGATGAAAAATGAACAACGCCTTCGCTGGGAATCGAACCACAGACCTCTCAAATACTCATCGAGTGTGCTGACCACTACCCTACATGCTAAGAAGGCGGGAGAAATACCTTAACATGAAAAACATGTTACAGCAAATCTACGTGCAGAAGTTATACATGAAAAGGGGAAACATACAGACTATTCAATCATCTGATTCTGAATAAGCACATCAAGCTTGAGATTTCTTAGTCAGCCTATATAGTTATTTATTATAATCAGACAGCATGGCAACTTCTAATTATGTTATTTACTTTGCAAAAAAAAAATCAGATTTATAATGGTCAGATAATGTATTCCATGTTTCTTTAAATTTATTCTTATTATTTGCTTGTTTTAAATCTGCATCTCATATACAGTCAAAAGTCGTTAATCCGGACTCGTTGGGACTTCGGCGATTTTGGATTATCGATTTTTCCGGATTATAGATCATCAGTTTAAATCTGTAAGATGGCGTGCAGAAATTATAAAATTAAAAATATGAAACCGTAATTTATGAAATAAAGAACAATTATGATCTAAAGGGTATCAAAATTTACAAAAAAAAAAAAAGCTTAATATTTATTTGTTTACTTTATTAAACATTTCTTTCAATGTAAGTTGTTTAAGTTGCTTCGTTTTTTATGTGATAATACATTCTCTTTAATTCTATAAACAGACATAATTTCTTGTTCAGTTACAAAGTTCCGCTGTTCAAGTCCTATAATTGCTGTGTCGAGAATACCGACTAATTTGTCAATCGAAATTTTTTCGTTTTCAATAACCTCTGTTACTTTTTTCGCTATCGGAAGCGAATTTATAATGATGAGGAATTTGATTTAAATCATATCAAAGACGGAGTACATTGAGATGAAATACTACATTTAGTAAGGAATTATAAGCCAAATAAAATAAAAACATCTGCCCTGAAGATAAGAATAGTGCTGACAGATCAACTTTCAATTCATTGCGCACCGCGGTGTTAAAGATAAACAAACGTTAAAGTTTAGATAAACAAAGGATATGCCTTTATCCATTTTTAGAGCAATTCCACTTTTTGTTTAATGAACTTTGAAACATACTTTCGCTTTATAGATCCTTTACATATATCAGAATGTAAATATATATCAGAAATTCTATTTGACATAATCGAAAGTTCAAGCTTACTTTTATAAAATTGCTCTAACAGTCTGCAAAAAATAATAAGCCGGATCCAATTCGAAGATTAAGGAACAACACAATCTGCAACATTAACTGAAATAGATAATTAGATAATTTTAGCTTAGCTTATACCGTCCGTTATACATTAAACACGCACTCGTAAACGTATTTTGCGCACGCGCACAAGCATATTCGCAGCCGTAAAGGTCTTACGCGCGACGCATGCGCAGAAAGTTTGTAGCTTTGAGGTCCGAATTATGGATGTCCGAATTAACGACTTTTGACTGTAACAGCATTTTTTAGGTATTTTATTTTCCTCTGAATTTCTTCCTAACCAATTACTGTATCACAGCTGTGAAGTTTTCAGAATCATATCATCTATTTATCAGCTACACCATTAAGTGTGTCCTTCTACTGTTGCTGCTACATCATAAAACTCTATGCACAATTCTCAACTAAATTATCTAAAAGCAAGTTTTTAATAATTAATGCATTTTCAATGGATGCAATTCCTTATATAAAAAGAGAGGTGATAACATGCTTCTAAAAAACAGTAAATAAGAATTCACTAAAATAGATGGGGTGTAGAGCTAGGAGTTACTATACTGATTATGAATTGGATTTTTCTACAAGAAAAAAGTTAAAGTAACTCATGTACTTTTTTCATTATTCATTAGTATTTATAATTTTTTGTCATTGATTAGTACAATTTGTAATTATAGATTAACATTTGAAACATGATATGTGCTTAATTTCATACATATATTATTTCCCCATCTTTATGAAAATAATAAAGAATAATTATATGATGATATAATTATTCCTTTTCCTGCAGGAATAATGTATATATTAAAAATATATATATATATATATATATATATATTTTTCCTGCCTTTATGATTCCCTGCCTTCAATTTTCTTTTACTTTCATTAATCATTTTTAATTTCTCTGATTTTCAAAATATATGGGAATCTGACAAAATTAAATTCCAAATCTTAATGGCTGTCAATGAAAATATGCTCATGATGTTCTAAATAGTTTACATAACTTAAAATCATTTAAAATTTGATAAATAAAAAGTTCAATCGACAACTTTTTTCTTAAATGCACAAAATAAAAGAGAAAAATAAAATGTTTACCAATATTCAGTCACATCTTCAAAATTATCCACACATCGGGATGGAGTTTTGAAGTGAGGTGTTTCTGGAGGTGTAGAAAACACTTCCTCAGCATCCATGAACTCAGTGGAATAACCCATCAGTTCATCCAAATATGCCGAGTCTAATGCTTCTATGACACTTTTAAAGGCTTCATTGAAATCCCCACTGCTGCACTCTTTCTTTTCTTCTGCCTGATAAAACCTTATATGACCAGAAATTATATTATTAAATATGGCTCCCAGATGGGGGTTTGCACAGAATTCTTTTTTCCATAAACATTTACAATTTGATTGATTGGGAGAAGATTCCTCATCACAAAAATAATTAAGAACACAAAGAAGGTGCTGCAAAGGAATAACTACATCTGGCCTTTCAAGCTTTTCAACAGTTTGCCCAATAGAAGGGCACAAGCATAATTTGATGTGATTTTTAACATCCGTAATGGAAGGCGCATCCATTGATGAGCTCAAGGAAGCATTAAGTAAGGTAGCTAAATTACTATGAATTAAACGAAGTTCATGATTCATCTTTTCAGTCTTCAAAATGCAATACATTTCTTCAAAAGAATGAAGAAGATTATCAAAAACACACAGATGTTTATCCACAATATCTTCTGCGAGAGAATCATTGGAGACGAGTTCAGTTGCCAGTTCTTGAAAATGGTCAGAAACAGAATTAACTAATGCATTAAGTTCTTTCTGTTCCCTTATGCTGCGGTCCTATTAAAAAATGAAATTATATTTTATGAATGGAACAATTAATTTTACAATAAAGCTGTTTTAAATTTTTAATTCTTTTACTACAAAATATAGTAATTTCAAAATGTGATCTGAGATGCTGTATCCAATGTCTCTAGAATACTTTTAAAAAAAAGAATGACTGATCCTATATCCTTTTTCATTCAATCTTCTCCAGATAAGGTTATCTCTATTACATAGCTATGCTAAAAATTTTAATCCCTGCTAAAAAGCTTAAAATATCAAAAAATTGTCTTCATAAATTAATTAAAAATTCAGTTATCAGAACTCTAGTTATTTCTAGAAGTCTATTTTCTTTTTCTAGGTTAAATAAAGTTATACCTTTTTTTTTTTTTTTTTTTTTTTTGTTGTTGTTATTGTTGGAAAGGGGCTTATTTAAATCACAGAAAAAAAATTATACACTACAATATGTATTTTTTTAAAGAAGTAATTAAGATGAATGTGCACAGTCTATAAAATTTGACAAACATGTAATTTACATTATTAAAAATCATTTGCACATTATATTTGATTTACAGCTCTTTGTTTATTCTGCGAGTCACTGCTCAGACATAGTCAGTTAAAAAAAAGAGCGGAAGGTTGATGTTTTATTAATGTCCATTCCCTGCTAAGAATATTTATTTGGGTAGCATGGAATGTAACTTATGTTAGTTACATTTAATGTATGCTGCATCATTTTTTAAGCAATTTTTATTTGGAAGAATAAGTCTTTTTAAATCTAAAATGATCTTTTAACTGCATTGCCTTTGCTGAAATAGTATGATACACAATTAATAAAGAAACAAAATCATCTTACTTGCATTATAAGTAAATGTATATTTGGTCAACAGGAAAAAAAAAAAAAAAAAAAAGACAACCTAGTTTATACAGACTTTTGTAATACAGCATACTTACATTTTTACACATCATCACCTAAGTTTCAATCCAATTTATGGACCTTTTTTCGTGGTCTATATGAGTTTGTTAAGTCAAGAACCTAATATCTGAAGATAAGTTATGGTCCCAATTAGTTCGAATATTTGGAGTTCTATTATAATTGCAGCTCTTTTAGAGTGAATCAATCACATTAGGAACTTTAAAAAAAAAAATTTATTTATTTTCTTTTAATACAGATTATATATGAGATTAGTTTACACTTTAAAACTTTTGTTACATAACTCAGGACAAATTTCAGGATCTAAATGATCCACACACAAAATACAATTAATTTTAAAGCATTTATTAAATTTCCCTCTAAGCATTTAATAAAAAGTATTCATAGGTAAATTTTCAATAATTGTATAAACATTAGCAACTATTGTACTTAAATTATCAATTTTATTTTACTTTAAAATTAACAATTTGTATCACACTGTAATGAGCTTCCATCACTAAATTATCACATTTATTACACCAGGGTTTCTCAAACTATGGTACATGTACCAATAATGGTATATTATTTTATATGGTACAATTTTTACATGAAAAATTTACATGACAGTTCAAAATGAATGTAAAATGCTACATAATGGCCTTGTTTGGTACATAATTTTTTTTTTTCTTATTTATCTGGTGCAAAATTTAAAAAGTTTGAGACCCCTGCATTTTATGTAAAACCTGCAGAACAGGGGAACCTTTAACCCTCTCACTACGTATCCCATGATTTCCATGGGCAACATAAAAGTAGCGATATTTGCGCAACCTACTATTTTTGAGAGGATACATTTTTTCCATCTGTTTAAGCCAAAATGAAACCATGAATTGGAAATAAGCAGTGCAACCTGCTTATTTCCAATTCATGGTTTCATTTTGTTTTTTCTGTGATGTTTAGTTGTTTTTTCAGATCTGGGTTAATAGATGGTGTTAGTTGTCCACATTTCTGCGAAATATACAAGCATGTTTCACACTATTTTGCACACTCTTTTCAAAGCTCAAAGATGACTGCAGTTCAACTCTCAATCCCATGAGACTAAATGCTCAACATTTTGCTAGTTATATACTTCCCACCAAGAAACAACCTCATAGTGTACTGTTTGTTTCCAAAAAAAGGCAAAAAAAAATTCACGAAAAAACACGAATTTGGTGCAAAGATTGCAAGGTAGGACTTTCCTTTGAGCCTTGTTTCGAAGTTTATCATACTAAACTTCATTTTTAATAAATGTTTTGTAAGTATTTTGCATATTTTCATTATTGCACACATTTTTTACCTTTGTATTTCATAAAATAAATCATAATTTAACCAAGATTTATTTTCAAAACTTTTCTTTTATACGATTATTCTTCAATTTCAATTTTCTAGCAACCTTTTTTATGATCTGATTCTATACCTTTTTTTTAAAAAAAAAAACTCTTTTACAAAAGATTTTTGTATTTTAACTCTATTAATACCATTATAATTATTAATACCATAATATATATTTAATTAATTAATACCATAATATAATTCATATATTGAAAATTCATATATCTATTAATACCATAATATAATTCATATATTGAAATATGTAATAAAAAATATGCAATTTTTGAACCTATTTTGATAAAAAAAAATTTACATAACACAAGGGTTAATAAATGTACTACATTAACCGTTTCTGGATGGGCATCCTATATGCACATTCCCTAAGAATGTCTCTTACAGCTGGGTGCCCCATCTACGCATCACTGGAGATTGAATTCAGGGGACGGGCGATGCGGTTTGGTTTATTTAATTATGGCAAAGCACACTAGGGCTACTGCCTAAGTGGAAGGATGCCTTCATGGAGGACTTTTTAAGGAAACTGCCTCGCATACACGTTACAAATGGGGAAAAACACGAAAACGGCCATGCAGCCAGCTGTTTGCGGGATTCGAACCTCGGACCGAACTACCAGTGTTCAGCGACTTTACCACTTGGCCGCTGGTGGGGCGACGACACATTATCAGCTGGAACTATTTTTTGAAGACCACTAGATGGCACCCTACGTCCATTACTTTTGAAATGAACACAGTTTTACATTCCTGACCTTGAGTTTGTATGTATTCTGCCTGTCTTTGGTATTTTACACATCAACTGTTGCGAGGGTTGGGGGGAAAGCGTAAACAGAGGTGGGCTTTTTAAATCACCACGTGCTAATATAAACATTCGCATGTCTGGTTTATATCCAATTCCTTTTTTATTATATTTTTTCCTCTACTGTGTACGGTGTTTAAGGGTTACTATGTGGAGCCTTCAGATATAATTTCGGTTCCTTCCCTTTTTATTTCGGAAAGCCTCACCTCCAGTCTATTATAGCCCAAAGGTACTATTTATCAGAAGAAGAATACACTCGTATAGTTAATGAACAATTTACTAACACAGATGAGAGTGATGATTCATTTCCTAAAGAGTTAGGAAGTGCCGCACTTCGAGATTTACCACATTCAATCTTCATTTTAAATTTTGTTACTTCTTAATGTAAATAGTCTTTATTAATTTTAAACTTTATTGATGAATTTTATCGATTAAAACTTTGAAATAATTTGAATAGGGCTTCCAAAAATTATTTTACAAGATAAACAATTTTTTTTTAATATATTTTCATGTAAAATAAAGAAAAAAGGTTATTAAACGCTAGTTTTAACATATATAAGAGCTCAAGTAATAATCTAAAATGGTACCTAAAATTACAATGCTAGAAGTAAAATTTTTTTTTTTTTTTTTTTTTTTTTTTTTTCCCCCTGATTTTTCTTATAAAATTAGGCTAAGAATACAAAACCCCTATCCTGTGCGATGGCTGCCTTTGATTCCCTTCCGCCCCTCATAAGCATCTTAAACAAAGGTGTGCCATCGCAAAAGGGTTAAAAAAATATTTTTAAACTTTTACTGTTAATTATCTAACTGTAATACTGGAAAATCAAATACATGCAATTTTCTTTCCTTTGGGCTATAATCTGTAAATTTTCTTACTGGAATAGAATGAAAATCAAATACCTGCAATTTTCTTTCCAAGTATGATTCAAATCTGTCTAATCCTTCAGGTGATGCTAAATTTAACCAAGCATCAAGGACTGGCCAATATTCTGTCCACTGTGTTCCAAAGTCTTCAGCCAGAGCTCGGCCAAGTCTTTCGAGACCTTTCTCTAAATCTGACAAACGAATTTCATTTACTGTTTTTTGATCTCCAGCAGAATATGATACAGGTTGTGGTGATCCTGGATTTTTCCATATTGAATAAAAGGCATCAGCCTAAAAAAAAAAAAAATAATGTTACATAAATTTAAAAATAAATTTTACATGAAATAATTAACCCTTAGCATATTCTTTCTGATGTAGCCTACAAAATATGCAAATTTTTATACTCACTACTAATCACTAATAAATTTATTTAACTTCTAAAGGTAATACTAAATAATAATACAAGTTGATTTATAATACACATGACTATAATTAAATAGAAACACTTCAACAAAAAAGATTTGAAACATGCTAAATATTGTCATAGAATACAATATTCAGATGAGCCACTCTTTAAATTTCTTGAGCTAAATATAATGTTGTGAACTGAAAGAGGATTAGAAACAATGATTTTGCACCCTCTGAAATAAGGATTAAGTTAAAATTAAAACTTTTAAAAATCAGAAATTGTAATTTTTCAAAATTACATCAGAAGATTAAAATATCCTCCACAACTCAGCCAAGGTTTCACTAAGAAAGAAAAAATGAAAAACTTGGTGGGACAAAGCTCTGAAGGCCATATGCGCCAAACACAGGATTCGTTCTTCAGCATACAAAACTACAATACAAATTGAAACAATGTCCGAAAGTTGCTGCCATTTATTTCTGATCTTCTCTTTGATGACACAAGAGATATCTCTAAAAGGGATGAGACGGCTGGACATTTCAACAGCAGATTTTGCTGTGATGTCTGCCAACTCATTGCCTTTTATTCCTGTATGTCCGGGATCCCAGCTATAGAATTTCATATCCACGACTTGTTAAGTTTATACTCAACTTGAGTACATCCACTAACACAGGATTCTCAGTGCTGGAAAAATATTCTAAAGCTTTTAATGCACTGTAGGAGTCTGTATATATAATGAATTTTCCTGTATATATAATGGTGCTCCCTCTCAAATTGGAGGTGGAGCTGAGCTAAGTCTGGTTGTCACCTATATGGTGCTCAATATTCTTACCAACGATATGCGTATAAGATGCCTTGCCATGATGAATGCCCCACCTTGGGCTGACCTTTGTAAGACAAAGAAGATTGGTACAGTACAAAGTCTTTAATCTGGACCTCCATAATCCGGAATGATCTATAATCCAGACCTCAAAGCTACAAACTTTCTGCGCATGTGTTATGCTTGCACGTTTAATGTATAACGGACGGTATAAGCTAGGCTAAAATCATCTAATTATCTATTTCAGTTAATGTTGCAGATTGCATTGTTCTTTAATCTTCTAATTGGATCCGGTTTATTATTTTTTGCAGACTGTTAGAGCAATTTTATAAAAAGTAAGCTTGAACTTTCAATTATGTCAAAAAGAGCTTCCGATTCTGGAGCTGCCAAAGGATCTACAAAGCGAAAGCATGTTTCGATGTACTGCTTCCGATAGTGAAGAAAGTAACAGAGAGGTTATTGAAAACGAAAAAATTTCAATTGACAAGTTAGTCGGTATTCTCGACACAGCAATTACAGGACTTGAACAGTGGAACTGAACAAGAAATTATGTCTGTTTATAGAATTAAAGAGAAAGTATTAGCACAAAAAATGAAGCAACATAAACAACTTACATTGAAAGTAAACAAATAAATATTAAGCTTTCTTTTTGTAAATTTTGACACCCTTTAGATCATAATTGCTCTTTATTTCATAAATTACGGTTTCATATTTTTAATTTTATAATTTCTGCATGCCATCTTACCAGATTTAAATTGATGATTTATAATCCGGAAAAACCCCTAATCCGGAATCGCCGAAGTCCCGATGAGTCCAGATTAAAGACTTTGCACTGTAATAACTTTGCTAATAATACACTGTTATAAGTAGCAATACACTACATACAAGTTGTATGTTGAATGTAATGCTACACCACAACGTTATGAACAAGACATGAAGTTTTTGAATGTAATCTATATATTAGGACATTATTTTAAAAGCAAAGTATTTTTAGTTATTTAAACCTCCGAGTGGCACAGCTTTTTTTTTTTTTTTTTTCTTTTTCTTTTTTAAATAAAGACCTGTACTTAAAACAGCATCTATTATCTGAATTTGCATAACTGCTAACCTCTTTTTTTATGTACTTACATTCATTAAGATGATATTTGCATCATTTAAGAAAGCACAGTTTTTTTAAATTATACGCCAATATATACAAAATGACAAAAAAGGCTCATGATCGAATAAAGGCACTCATGCCACTCAGGGGACTAAAACAATGTATTACAAAACATAAGGCAGTAATACTGAAATGTTAAGTTTGAAATACAGGGTGCTTCTAAATGAATAACCAGGGTTTTAATGTTTTGTAGTATATATTACATAAAACTTAAAATTATAATTAATACATGATATAAAAGAGCAACTCAAACAGTTATACCTACAAGCTTACAAGTGTTCAATGTGAGCACCTTTCGTCACATATCAAGTCGATAGCCCAGTTCTTCCCAAATGTTGATTAGTGTTTGTGGTGTAACTGTTCTCTACCAATTGGGTCTTCTACCAACTGGGGAACTAGACATAGTTGTGAAGCATCAAGATAGGAAATACTAGTTACAGTTGCTTTTTCAAAGAAAAAAAGGCCCATAAACCTTCCGTCCAGATATGGCACCAAAAATAAAGTTCCATTTGGGGGAGTCTCGTTGTAATTGTACCATCTCGTAAGGATTTTCTGAGCCCCAGATGCACACATTATGAGTGTTCACATGTCCACTGAGGTGAAATGTCGATTCATCACTGAAAACAAAATGATCTAGAAAATCGTCGTGTAACAACTTTTCATGTGCAAAGTTGGCACGTAAATCATGGTCTGTACGCTTTAGAGTCTATACTGTACCAACAAACAGAAATGTTAGTGTTGCTCTTTCATTTCATGTATTAATTATGATTTTAAGTTTTACGTAATAAATACTACAAAGAGTTAAAACCCCGATATTCATTTAGAAACACCCTGTATTTAAGAAAAATAATGTTTTGAAAGGTTAAAATTAAATCTGCTTTGATTAAATTTCTATAGAAAAATGAGAAAAGATTACTCAATGTTTACTTAGAAATTTCATAAAGACAGTATATTTAAAATACAAAACTGCTTGAAATTTATATTATGAATAGTAATTTATATGACTATCCACGTATGCAAAAGAAAAGAATCTGTCCGTAAATCATAATGAAAAACTTACGACTTTGCGAGGCATAGGTCCAGCATATGCCTTTACAGAAAGAGAGTTATGATGGACATCGGATGGCTGTGCGTTAGAGGCAGTACATGAAGATGATTTTATTACGTGTGCTAAACAGGGTTTCCCTACAATTGCAGGCATTAGATTGCAATCTTGACGTAAAACAGGAACATAATACAGAGCTGAAAATACAAATGTACCATTATTCAGTCATAAAACCTAGATTGGACAGATATAAGAGAAAAAATTCATTTAGTTTTATTTAAATCTAGTCCCATTCAAGTACATAAATTTAATCCAATGCAAACAATACTCACAAAGCAGCTAAGTAAATACAGATAGTCAGTTTCTGAAAACTGAACAAGGTAGTTACCCACCCCAACACTTTTCTATCATGCATCATGTGAATATGAGCACATTTTTCTTCAGAAGGCCACATAAAAGCATTCTTTCTAAAGAGGATACCCTCAAGTGCTTGATTTCAATTAATTAGTTACTAACACTAGGAAAATAAATATGTCAGAGGTATTGTTGCTATTATTAGTCCTGAAAGCAAAATCTGCCATGTCATTCTACAACATATTCAAAACTATATCGATATGAACAGCAATGACAGATTTGATTGTGTAATCTTCTACAGTACAGTACAAACTAAGGATGAATTGTCTCATGCACTTTATATGACTTAAATCAAGAGGCTAAGCAAAAGCACAATGACATACACATACTTACTTTAAATAACATTACTATTTAAAGTAAACACAATTAAAATCTGGATTTCGGCAATTATATTTAAATTAGAATCACTCTAGCATAGAACCAAGAAAGTTATTCTAGCAGTATTATAGTAGCAACAGTATTATAGTCTAGCAATATTATAGTAAATTAAGATAAAAATATGCTTTCAGCATCTACAATACAGTTGAAATAAAATTTGTTAATTTGTTAAAATTTGTTATCTGCAGTTAATAGCATGATAAATAATTAACATGTTAATACATATACTAGAGATAATTAGCATTTATCCCACAGATTAAATATACTATACTTTAATACACTTTAACACAATACACATATTACCTGATACTATACATGCATTAACTGCCAGATAACATTAAACATAATTCTTAACTAAAAAGCAATAATAATCATAAACAAATGATTTCTTTCAAACAGGAAATTAAGGCAAGTAATAATAACTTAAGGTTTACATGAATTAGAATATATATGAATATACAATTGTCAGCAATATGATATAATAATAATCATACTATGTTTAAAGGTCAAACAATTTTGCTGCCACCATGTGTGTGTGTGCGTGTGTGTGAAGCCTCGAGGGCTATCTGCCTAAAGGGGAGGGATGCCTTCGTGGAGGACTTTCTAAGGGAAACTGGCTCGTATACACATTACACATGGGGAAAACCATGAAAACGGCCATGCAGCCAGCCCGTTCGCAGGATTCGAACCTCGGACCGAACTACCAGTGTCCAGCGACTTTACCGCTCGGCTGCTGTTGGGCTGCTGCCACCATGAGGGAACATAAAATAAATTACCTTATTTGCCGGCGAATAAGACAAACCTCCTTTTATACACATTTTTGAAGGATAAAACTTTATTACTGATCATTATAATTTCCCAGAGTTCATATTATTTTCTCAGTTGGGGACAGCCCGAAATGCCTCTCTGAAGCCCAGTTTCACATTTAGCTTATATGCCCAGCAATCACATGTAGCTTATATGCTATGTTATAGCAGTGCTGACTTTGCTTTTGAGCCATAATTTGTCAACAAATTTAAGAAAACTAAAGAGTAGAAATTTCATTCACTTAAAAGTTGTTCACAAGAACTGGGAAGTTTAAACGAACTCAGCTGTGATCGTCGATGACAGCGCATGCGCATTCATGAAGCTCTACGTAACTGTAATATTCCCATACTCAAGGAAACAAGGGGGAAAAAATGCATAACTCTGAATAGGAGAAACTTCTAGAAATGAATGTAATCAAAAACTGAGTATCGGCATATAAGATGAACTCCATTTTTCGATCCAAGAAAAAAAAAATGCGTCTTGTATGCCGGCAAATATGGTATTTATTTTATACTCCTCAATGATTCACATCCTACACAAGCATCCTTAAGTTTCAAACCACTGCCTTGTTTTTATTTTTACATGTACATTTAATCTGTCACCATGTCATCAGTTTTTCTATATTCTTATTAGAAGAACATTTTCTTGCACAGTATTTTTTATTTTTCAAAACCAGAATTACATTTTATACGATCAATTTCTTAAATTAAAAATTACCAGAAAAAGGACACGTATTTGAAATGTTTAATACTTTCAAAACAGGCAAGGCCTTTTTTTAACCAAAGTATTTAAATGTTTTTAATCCTATAAATCATGATACGAATAAATTATTTAAATAGTTTTCTTCCCATAAATTTTCTCTCTAAGTAGATTGTTTTATATTTATGTATAACAAAATATACATTACATAACCCCATGAGAGTTACTGATCAAATTTAGAAAAGCTTAATGAATGAAAAATTTTAATAAAAATAATAATAATAAATACTTTCAAAGGCTTCGGAAATTTCTTGTTTCAGATCATCTGAACAAGAAGGACACCTCTCACAGATCATCTGTAAGAAATTAATAAATATTGTTTTTGTACTGTTCTTCTTTCATAATAGGATAAAACACTGTGAAACAGCAACAAATATATATCGTAAAGTTTCTATCTGATACAAAATATAACAATTTTAAGTTTAGAAGATAAAAAGATCCTGGTAAATAATATATTGTTCAAAATTCAACACAATATCTACACATACATTATATTTAATTTCATATTTAATATTTTATACACAGTTACATTAAATACCTGTATATAAAGATACCAGATCTAAATTTTGCAACAGAAGAAAACTTATTTAAATTCTAAATGCATTTACCTGTTCTGCAGTTAGTCCATATTTGTTTGTTTTAGTTTTATCACATAAAGGGTGGGATAAGAGAGTTTTAATCATCTGCAAACATCCAAATTTAGCAGCAAAATGCAGTGGTGTTTCACACAGCTAGAAATTAAACATATACTTTGTATAATATTTTAATTTCATCAAAATATGACAAGAAAATAATTATGAACTCTTTAAATTGTTTAAAAAAATAATGAATTACAGCTTTGTCTGGAGTGTTGATATACAAATCAGTTACATGTCGAATGCGCTCCATTCGAGCTTCATTAGTGTCATCCTCATATATCAGTTTAAAAAATGCAGGATCCTGGATAGTATTCAAAATAAGTTCACAGAAGATTTCTCGTTTATATCTTGCAGCTACATGCAGAGCATTGTAATGAGATCCTTCCTGAAAAATACAATGTCAAAACTAATATAGAAAATGCTTATTTTTATAGCTTAGGGCTTATCATGTAAATTTTGCTTCAATCTGAACCATTTTTCAAGAAATACAGACAGACCTGAATAGATATCTATCTAAGTGTAAATTAGAATACATATCTAAATGTTTTGATAAAGTATTTAATTTATTATTATTATTTTCTTTTCATCAACTAACATTAATGAGGATAAAATTTGATTACTCATCACAGTTCAAGAGAATTATAAATTTCAAAATTCTTGATTACATTCATCTAAAGAACAAAAGCAGTAATATAGTTTTGTAAGTTAAAAGAATACTACTGTATTACATATAAATTACAGATGAATCATATTAAAAAAGTTTCATGAGACCATTGATAAAGTGCATTAAAACTGGAGATACTAAACCAGACAAACGGAAAATTTATGATGGAAAAAATTTCTTATTGAAGTATGAAGTGGGTGATGAGTATTGAATGGTCTGCAAAGATTTACAAAAAATTTGCTTAATGGAACTTTGAATTTAATGTAGACTGTAATATTAGATTTCTTTTTTAAATAATAATTTACAATACAATATCTGTATTATAACACTGAAAAAAAAAAAAAAAGAAAAAAAAAAAAAAAAATTTCTTTGCAAAAGCGTTTTATTAGCAATGTTTCTTGCTTTTAAAATTTTATTGATTGACTGCTTTTGTATGGAATTATCAGTACACCAGAATTTGAAAATGGCTGAATATTTAAAAGAAAACACTTTTGACGAAAACATGAAATCATACAGCCAAGTTTATGCATGATTGATTACATAACTTTTAGTCTGAAATAAAGTCACACAACTTCCAATCTGGAGAGAAAAAATTTTCCCCAACTCACACTGAATACTATTTAATAATGCATTTAAAAGCTGGGGAATCTTAATGCACAATAAACAGTGCCATGAACTCCATGAATATTTCTGTTCGCAGTTATGTGCATATTTAATATGAAAAATGACTTACTATTTTTAGCCATCTTACAAAACGTATTTTAAAAAATGCTAAAGGGATTTCATTTTATGAATTCATAAATGATTTAGCCCAATAATGGAATTTTAGCACAATCAAATTCCATTAACTAAAAATTAAAATTACAAACGGCATTAATTTCTTTTCATATCCAGAATATTCTTATTAAAGCTCTTTTTTACTGATTTCAACTCATTTAATATTATTTTGTTAACACAAATTAAGAAAATGGAAATTTTTTCCAGGTGTTGAAATAGTAAATTCCAACAACATCAAAAATATTTTCAAGAAGTTTCAAAATACATCTTCCTATTAGTACTACACATAAAAATAAATTTAGAACTCAAGCTTTTTTTTTTAATTTTAAAAGATTACTAGTTTTTTACCTGCATGGTGGTTGGAAAGTCACCACCAGTAATAAGATATCTTGGATTTTCCCATACTGTTCGTCTGAAATTATATATATCACCCTTTTCAATTGCTTTCCGGAGCTTCACAATTTGCTGACTTGTGACAGATTTTAAATTAGATGATTCTTTTGACAAATCTACAGAAATAATCATTTTATATACTGCATATATATAGTCAAATTAAACTATTTATTTACTTTTGAAATTGTTTAGAAAAGAACTTAATAATTTATTCTTCAACTGTGTTTCACAATAAGCTAGCTTATTTATAATATTTCATTCAAAATTTGTTACAGTAAAATATCAACCTCAATTTTATATTGAATAGTTAAAAGAATACACCAAGGCAAAATTATGCAGTGAGTGATATTTTAGAACATTAAACTGCAGAGAAAAATTTGAAATTCATTGTTTATGTACTTATATGTTTAAAACAGCTGTATCTAATAACTTTTTTATTAAAATAAAATTATATTAATAAAATACTCTTGTGAAGGAACATGCTAAAAATATGTGCTAAGGAAATTATGAAATTGATAATGTTTTAAAAGAAATATCAAGATACATTTTAAAGAATTAAAAAGGAACAGAATATAGAGTGAAAAAAGTGTATTAGTTTGCATTCTACAAATGCAAACAATTCTTAAATTAAATTAAATACAAATTTTATCATTCAAATTGTAAAATTCTTCCACCTCCCCACCCCCAAAAAAAATTCACTTAATATCTTAAAGAACTGATAAAGCAAATACTGAAAATGCAGTTTTAGTAAATTTTCAGTATAAATAACAAATAATAATAAACTATAAACAAATACCACATAATAAATAAAATAGTTTAGTTTTTGTACAGCATATTTAATTATCAGCTTCATCGGATATAAAAACTGATTTTGGAATGGCATTTTGGAACATACTGTACAATGTATACGCATGAATATTTGCATATAAAATATACATATATAATAAATAAGAAGCTAAATACAACCACCTAACCTGATTCCTTAGCTGCAGAAGTAAAGTGAGCTGAATCAGGTGCAGGAGATGGACAAGTTACAGCTTCAGAAGCAAATTTAATAGCATCAGTTTTATTTGTAAATTCCTTAAACCTTGCACCTTTGTACTGTTTTATAATACGCAGAGCATCAGCCTTATTTTCCAATACCAAAGGTTTTCCTGAAAAAAAATTTTGAAGTATTAGAAGATTTACATACAATTGATTATTTGTTAGTACTTGATTTTTGCTTAAAGCAGACATTCTGTAGCAAACATTAATCATAATAATTGCAATCTAAAAAAAAATGCATCTCATTCATAACATATACTTCATATTTGGTACATATTTGATTATTTGCATTAAAATTTAAATCAAACTTTGAAAGGACAAAAAATTGATTGTAGTATTCATTTTCTCTTTCCTCTTGTCATTTGAGGGCTATAAATCTTGACAGATGACAGAACTGGAAATTGGTTCATATTAGCTTATATTATGAAGAAACTAAAAGTATTATCCATTGATCTTATGTAACTGCATTTTATCAATGATTTTATTAAAACATGGAAATAAAAGATAAATGAAACAGTTGCATAATTCTTCAAGGCAATAAATGCACACACAAAATATATACTTAAATACGCACTCAAAATTTGTATAAAAATATGTTCACCTTTTAAGTAAAAGAAAATTCCCAAATTTGCTTTACCAACAATTCCTATAGCAAATAAAGCAAACTAACAAAATATTCATAATCTTCTCATGTTTTCATTTATTATAATAGTTGAAGAAAAAATCATTAAAACTGACCAAAATCCAACAAAGTTATTAATGAACATATTACATCAACAATATGAATGTAAACTTGACTAACAGCATTCAAAAGCATGTATAAACAATACCTAACATTTTGAATAATACTGTTTTCACGTAATTATTAACAGTTGCAGTACTTTTTAGCATATCCATACAAATAGAATTTTCCTTAACATGCAAAATTTAATTAATCTCTCTTTCTTTTTTTTTAAATTTCATTCCTTTAAACATCCAATAGGAACATTGAAAGTTTACATTGTTAATAAATGTCAAATCAAAACATCAATTCCATTTTAGTACTTATTATCTCCTAAATAAACATACTAGCAGATTTATAGCTACATCTATTTTTAGTTCATACGAATGCAAAATATAGAAAAAAGGCGAGCACAACAGCCTAAAATGTACAACGGCCTTCCTTACAATTATTTTCCATTCTGTTCCCTTTCGGTCTAGAGTTTCTCAGAAAGTAGTTTTGACAATGTTAAAGTTCTTAATGATGCAGTCCAACCATCAAAACATAGGCCTTTTTCTGGCTTGTTTTTACATTGGTTTAAATTGACTCTCATTCTTACATTGGTTTCATTGTTAAAAATGTTAAATACTAAGGAGGAATTAAGTTGGCGAATGCGACAAGCAAATTTTGTGCAGTAAATTTTAATCCATCTGATAATACCACTTTCTTTATGCAATTTATATAATTTGTTGGAATATCTAAGTCATCACAAGCCACATAAACACTAAGGACTTTTCTTTATTTTCAGACTGTCGGCATCCACATCGAAAAGTCACAACTGCCAATTTTGAAGAGTATTCACAAACATGTCACTGACTAATTTTACACCAAGCTAATGTGCAAAAGACAAGACACATTTTCAAAATAGCATCGCAACTAAAAATTCCATATATATATATATATGCAATAATTTTTAAAAATTTAAATTAACACATTTTAAAAACACATTTTTAGACTAAGCCACCTTTTTGTGCTTTTGTTCTCTCCACATACACAGCGATCACTTAATCAGAGAATTGCACAAGCTTGGCATTTATACACTGTCCAAATTATGCACCAGCCAAAAGTAGTTATTTGAATCCAATCTTTGTAAAAAAAAGTGGAGATTTTTTACAGAACCAGGATAACAGTTGTCCATTTCTCGGAAAATCCCAAATCATAAAATCCATTAATTTTCACAAAAAAGAAAACTGATTAGGTGAAAAACAGTGCTGTATGAGCTATAGTTATAAAGACATTTATTGTTAGGAAATACGAAAACCAAACTGGAGACAACTGACACTGAGTAAATACGCAAAGAAAAAAGCATCAAGTGGTTCAGCTTTAGAAGAATAGTGCAAAATAAATAATCACTTCTACTTTATTTAAATCTTCAAAATTAATTTTTCTCTCTCTCTCTTCTGCTGTAGGTATCTGAGATCATCCACAGGTTCTTCTAGTTGCAGAGCATCTTCTTGTTGCAGAGCTTAAATTGTGATGGAGCTCAGCTTCAGGACTTCTTCGCTTTTGGGATAAATTATAATTCTAGATGGAGCGTACAAGTGCCCTAAATATGAAGGCTCCAGCAATTCTTTTATCTAGCCACACAACAATTCCAACAGAAATTTGATTTCGAAAATTTTATTTTTTACAATAAAATTACATTAAAAATCGGTTATTAAATTTTAGTTCATTTCTTTACATTTTATTAATTTTAATTCTTTAATTATTTAAATAATAATTATAAAGTATTAATTAATATGAATTTGACAATTATTAATCATTAATTTTTAAATTATTGATGATTTAATAGTCTTAATAGTCATTTATTTATTTACTTTTGTTCCTCTTGGATGACGGTCTCCGGCACTTCTAATTTTAGAAATTAAGCCCTGATTTCCTGTATAAAAACTCCAAATCGTGAAGTACACTCTTTATTTCATAAAGTTTTTGAATACACGATTTTTCAAGATTTTTCTTCCTACTTTAAAATTAAATATTCATTTGCTGTGACACATATGTACATGCAGCTGTAGCCCAAAAAAAAAAAAAAAAAAAAAAAAAAAAAAAAAAAAAAAAAAGGTCATCTTGTTATCTGCTATCACATTCCATTCTATATATGAGGGATGAAGTGAGAAGAGGGAGATTCTTGAATGAAAAAGCATTTATCCAGACTATTGTCATAAATTCTCCAACCTATCCTGCTTTACAAACTAGTTTAATAATAAACAATAGCCACACATTACATTTACGTTTGCTTTTTGTGGTTTTATACTGCAAATCCTTTCTTAAGCTAGCTGTATACCCAATAATAAAAATGTCAAAATGAAACTGTCCAACATTTAAACAGTGTTCATTCTCAGTGAAGTGGATTAATGTATAAAGAGGAAAGACATTATCATAAAATTCAGTATTTTGCAAACTAGTTTATCAATATTCCTGGAAAATTGGAATGAAATTTCTTCAAGCTTTGATTCCACCCAACCAAGTGCCAAATGTAAGAAAATATGCATTTATGAAGGCATTGATGAAGCAACATTAAGACAACTGTGTACAGTGAGAGAAAAAAATGTACAGATACCATGGCCACTGATACTCGAAAAAGCTGTGGAGTCTGCCAAAGCTTTATGAGAATGGAGTAGTTGCAAAAATCATACCTGGCAAAACCAAACATGTTAATAAAGATGACTGTGTCATATGGATAGAAAACTAAAAGGTATCATAGTAATGTTCAAGTCAAAAGATCTTTTCAATAGTTATAAAACCAGCTTACTTTATAAAATGTTAACAGCAAAGAACACTTACATTCAAAAAATATTGTTTTAGAGGCAAGCACAACTAAGAGTCATTGTACCGATATGTGCAAATACAGAAGGAAATTAAGAACTGAAGCCTTTGTTTATATTAAAGAATAAAAATCCAAGATGTTTCAGATATTATATCATTGGAAGTAGATTATGGTTTCAACAAGAACTCATGGATGATCTCAGCCATTTCTGAAAAGTGTCTAAACAATCTAGATAAAAGCATGGCTGTACATAAATGAAAAATTGCTCTAATGATAGACAACTGCAGTGCTTACCTTCAAGATATCAAAAAATAAGCACAAAAATATTAAGGTTTTTTATTTTTTCCTTTCTAAATACCACTGCAAAACTGCAGCCTATGGAACAAGGGATGATAAAAAGGTGTCATGAGACATTATCACAAAAGAATTTTGTAAAAAGCCCTAATGGTAGAATTAGGTAGCATTAAATTTGAAAGTAATCATCCTTTATGTATAATAAGTTTATATGACTGTGTATAGTTCAACTGTCTCAAGCGTAATCCTGGTTGGCATTCTGCCAAAACACACAGACTCGTCCAAAAGGGACAGTATTACTTGCTGCGACGTGAAAGGTCTTCTCTTCTCCGGAAAGAGCTATGCTGGAGGGAAGGAAAGTTCCCATCCTTCCACTCGATTTTGAGAATAATTCAGTCCGAATGACGCATGCGTGTTTACGCTCATGGTCGGAGATGAGGCAGTCGAACTATATCTGAATTTGCTAAAGTATAGTTATGTCACTGAAAAAATGTCCACAGTTGTTTAATAGCTTGACTATCTGGCATTCAATTAACTAGAAATTAAAAAATTAGGATACTTTTAACGTTCAAAACTTATAAACCAGCATAGATATGATTATGATTCAAATGAAATAAAAACTACCTCCAAACAATATGATTTAGTGCCAACAATGGATAAGCATGAGGCATTGCTCTGGTTTTATGTAAACCTGATTAACTCTTGAGCAGTCAGTTTAATTTTTGTAAAAATGAAATAAGTCAATTGCTGTTTATCAATTGCATTTTGGGGGAAAATAATTACTATTTGGAGCCTGTCTTCAATCAAACAGCATGCAGTACAGTATTTTTAAATTTATGGAAGGATTAAACATAGTATGATTTTTGAAAAATAGATAAACATTAGCTTTTCAAGATAAAAAATTATGGCAGGTGATTTAACTTTTTATATGTTATGACAATTGATGGAATTGTGCAATCACATATATGCTTTACTTTGTTGTTCATGTCTGTTTTCATTTGATAATCTTACATAATTTTAATGTAAGCATTTAATATTCAAGTTGACAACAAATAAAATGACTCTTTTTGCAAATTAAGACTAGACATTTTTTCTTTCATTCATTTGCTTTTCTACCATGAGCTGCATTTTTTATACACTCAAATATCCAGAATTTGGTATTTCCCGAGCTTTTACAGTAATGCCAATGATGGTGATGAGCACGATAAGGAACTGTATGAAAATGCAGGTACAATTAAAGAAAAAATTTTATTATTATTTATTTATGGGTAATGGTGCTATGACTGCAGGGATTCCAAATTAAAAGGGTATACTGGAGAACATAAAAAATAACAGCTAGAAAGTAATTGATGATAATGAACATAAAAACATTAACAAAAATGAATGTATAAAATTCTCATCAAAAGATATGTTAAATGTCTTTGATATTTTGCAAACACGTTTACAGTTTGAAGAAAATGTACAACGCATATTTGTGATTGTAAAGATACGAGATTTAATACGACATGAAATATTGTTCAAGACGTACAAACAAACAAAATTAACTGATAATTTATGTAATTTTCATATGTAACTTTGATGGAATGGAATATTAACAAATGTAATTTTGCATTTACATTTAACTTTTATTGCTATTTTGCATTTAACTTTATTTAAAAGACTATTTTTTTTTTTTTTCATTTTGAACAAATTTTTACTTTGCATATTCCGGTAAAATCCTAAAAGCACTCACACCCTTGGGGACAAACTGGGAAAGTGCGCACTGCTTTGTACGTTTCTCAAAATCGCCAACTTGAAAAGAACAAATCGAAGAATTGCACAAAATAGGTAACACATTGACCTATTTTCACTTAAAAAAGCATCAGAGAATTGCACAAACTTGCCATTGCATACTCCCTTGACTTTGTCCATGTACACATCGATACGCATTATAACCAAAATCATTCGCACTAAGGGAGTGGGCTCTACTAGAATCCAACCCATATTCCAACATCTTTTTAAAGTAATTTTGAGTTTTATGGTGCTGCTGTCTTTAAAATTTATTTAGTATAATCAACTGAATAAAGTCCATTATTTCAGTTTTATATTTCATATGTTTGTTGTTCAATGTTAATAAGTGCAGCACATGTTACTTCTGATTTAATGATCAAAATAATAATAAAAAGAAGCCACATATTTTTAGTGTTTCATAACTTCTTTAAAATTAAAATCTGTAAACATTCATATAAATTCCTTATTTCCATGAATCAAATTATGGAAAACTTTAATTTTAGCTATCATTAGCAGCTAATTACATATAATTAATAATAAACAAACAAAAATAATATAAAACTTAAGAACATGATTGAGAAAGCATTCTTAAATTTAACTTACCCACAGGAACCCCTTCACAAGTTGTTCCAGAGGGAAAAGAAATAGCATAATATTTATGTTCCAAGTCATCGCTCTCTGGAAACGTCTCTTCTGTTTTTGCTGACAGCTCTTCTTCTACAGTTGACTCTATTATAGAAATTAGATCAAAATTGAATAAATTTTTTATTAAAACAAATTTACAAATTTTTTATTCTGAATTTTAATACTATTACGACTATTTTAAAAATGAAAATCTCTTAAGTTTACACGCAATAATTAAGTACACAAATATCATTCAGTTAATACACTATACCAAAGTTACAGATCAATCACATATTATAATTTAATAAACAGTAATAGTTTTCTTTTAAAGCATACCTTTCATGAGGCTGTTGTTATGCAAAGTTCAAAAACTTTCAACTTCATGGACATAAGTTACATGTTTTTCAGCCCACTTTAAAGCTAAAATTGCAAGTGTTAGAAGTGAATTATAGAATAAGTTACTATACTTTTTCAAGCAAAAATTTTCATAATGTTACATATTTAAGTTTTCTAATTCTAATTCAATTCTAATTCTAATTATTGTGTCTTAATTATTGTGTCTTAATTAAGTTTTCTATTCAAAAAGAATTAATAGTAATAATAACAACTTCAAAATAAAACTCATCCGGTAAAAGTATAGTTTAGGATATTCCTTGGCGAAACTTGGCGATTTTTGGCAGTACAGTCAAAAGTCGTTAATTCGGACACCCATAATCTGGAATGATCTATAATCCGGACCTCAAAGCTAAAAACTTTCTGCGCATGCGCCGCGTTGACACATGCGCATAGGCGTTTACGCGTGCGCGTAAGACCTCTTACGACTGCGCATTTGCGTGTGCGCAAGCGCAGAATACGTTTTCGCGTGCGCGTTTTATGCATAACGAACGGTATAAGCTAAAATTATCTAATTATCTATTTCAGTTAATGTTGATGATTGCGTTGTTCCTTAATTTTCGAATTGGATCCGGCTTATTATTTTTTGCAGACTGTAAGAGCAATACTATAAAAGTAAACTTGAACTTTCGATTATGTCAAATAGAATTTCCGAATCTGGAGCTCCCAAAGGATCGTACAAAACGAAAGTATGTTTCGATGTCCATCAAACAAAAAGTGGAATTGCTGCAAGACATGAAGAATGTGACAGAGAGGTTAGTGAAAACGAAAAAATTTCGATTGACAAGTTAGTCGGTATTCTCGGCACAGCAATTAACGGGACTTGAACAGCGGAACTTTGTAACTGAACAAAAAATTATGTCTGTTTATATAATTAAAGAGAAAGTATTATCACATAAAACGAAGCAACTTAAACAACTTACATTGAAAGAAATGTTTAATAAAGTAAACAAATAAATATTAAGCTTTTTTTTTTTTTTTTTTTTTTTTGTAAATTTTGATACCTTTTAGATCATAATTGTTCTTTATTTCATAAATTACAGTTTCATATTTTTAATTTTAGAATTTCTGCATGCCATCTAACACGATTTAAACTGATGATCTATAATCCGAAAAAATCGATAATCTGGAATCGCCGAAGTCCCGACGAGTCCGGATTAACGACTTTTGACTGTTCATGGATGTCGATTTTGTGCAATTCTTTGACTCGTTACTTTGGCTTGCGAAGCGGCGATTTTTAAGACAAACAAATGCACAAACTCGGTATCCATGTACACATTGACTTATTTTCACTTTAAAAAAAATCCCTGAATTGCACAAAAATGGCATTGCACACCCCTTTCACTTTATCCGTGTACCTGTCGACCTGTTTTCACTTAAAAACAAATCCCCGAATTGCACAAAAATGGCATTGCGCAGCCTTTTAACTTTATCCATGTACACGTCAACCTATTTTCACTTTAAAAAAATCCCAGAATTGCACAAACTTGCATTGCACACTCCCTTTACTTTGTTCCTGTACACATCGATATATTTTCACTTAAAAAAGTAAAACGAGCACCAAATTCTACAATATAGGCAAACAAAAAATACATAATCTCTATAAAATACATTTTAAACTAAACAATAAAATAACATAAAAAAGGAAAAACATGTTATACATTTAAGCACTACCAAAAGCAAATATTCACTTACCATGATTTTCGAGTTCGCTTCATACACTCAGAGCCACGTAAAAATCAAAATATCAATTATACTCAAATGACTTTTTTCAAACCAGGTACTCTTTCTGATTGAACGCTTCACATAGTGACCATCTGAACCTTTCTTCCTACAAACCCATTCAAATCCACCTAAACGGTTTTTACGTTCGACTAGACGCACATCCTTCCTACATAAAGGACACTTATAATGGCTACTAAGTAAACCTTCATTTACACACTAGTCAATTAAAGCTCTTTTCAGGTAGAGTAGACTTTAAGGTACCTTTTGTATTATGGGAAAGTTGTTGTTTCATTTATCGCCAAGTTGTTTCATTTATGGTAGCCCGAGTAGTTGAATGTTATGGAAACCCTATTGTGATGTAATAGGGTGCATGATTATAGGAAATTTTGAATCATGGGATGTTTTGTAAGCGTTTTTGTGGTGTGTGTTGGTTTGATTCTTCAGACGGTAGAATGGACGAATATAGTAAGATTAATTTGTAATTTGAAATTTCTGTATGATTTGGAGCAAAAGGGGAAAAGAGATTTAATGGACTGGTGTGTAAATGAAGGTTACTTAGTAGCCATAATAAGTGCCCTGTACGTAGGAAGGATTTGCATCTAGTCAAGCGTAAAAACCATTTAGATGGATTTGAATGGGTTTGTAGGAAGAAAGGTTCAGATGGTCACTACGTGAAGCGTTCAATCAGAAAAAGTACCTGGTTTGAAAAACATCATTTGAGTATGATTGATATTTTGATTTTTACGTGGCTCTGGGTGTACGAAGCGATCTCAAAAATCATGGTGAGTGAATATTTCTTTTCGGTAGTGCTTAAATGTATAAAATGTTTTTCCGTTTTTATGCTATTTTATTGTCTGGTTTAAAATGTATTCACAACCATCTAGCTACAATAGATTAGCAAATCTATATGCTTTCCCAAAATTTCATAAATCACCACTCAAATTTAGATTTATTGCTAATGTTACAAATAATTATAAAAAGAATATAGATTACGTTTTTGCAATTATACTTAAAAAAATCTGTAATTTAATACAACAACTAGTTAACAAACAACACAATTATAGCTGGATTATTTATAATAATGCTCCAGTTCTCAGCAGTTTTAAAAATTTAACAATCAAGAACATTAACTGCTATGACTTTGAAAACCTTTATACTTCTCTACCATTAGAAGAAATTTTTACTAGTTTAATGCAACTCCCACAACTTTTCCCTGACATACTTAACATCCTTTGTATTGCAAGATGGAATACTTATCTGAATTGTGCATTATTTAATAACTACATTAAATTCAATAATAAGATCTTTCAGCAAGTTAGAGGAATTCCTATGGGAGCAAACAGTTCTACACAAATTTGTAACCTATTTCTTTTTACTTTTGAATATAAATTCCAACTAAGTTTAAATAAAAATGAATTAAAGCTATTTGCTCATACTTTTAGATACATAGATGATATTATAACTTTCAATAATAATTCTACTTTTGAGCAATTCAAAATTTACCCAAATAGTTTAACACTTAATAAAACGAATACGAATCAAGATACTATTGAATACCTAGACCTGCAAATTATTAAACACAGCAAAATTAAATTATTTGATAAAAGAAGGAATTTCCATTTTCATACTATTAAACTAATTAATTGGAACTCTAATATCTCTAGAAAAAAATAGAAAACACGTTTCATAGCCAAATAATCAGAATAAAAAATATATGTACTGAAATATATGATTTAAAGGAAGAAATAATAAAGCTAATTAATGTTCAAGTTGATAACCAAGTACCAATAAAATTTATTAATTTATATATTAAAAAGGCAGGCATTGACTTTACTTTATAATTTTTTGGCTCTTTTTGATATGATAACATTACCTTAAACCTTAACTGGAGGGTAATGAAGGATATAGAAGAGTAAAGAAATTATCTTGTAAATTTTTATTGTAAATAAATTTGTAAATATGTATATTTAATCAATACTGGAATCTTTCCTTTTACTAATAATGGGCCAACTCTTTTCAAAAGTCTCAATTATAGCCCGAATTGAGTGAAGATTTTAATCTTCTTCTTCTTCTAATTTTCCATACTTTAGCCAATATTTAGCTAAGTTTTGATATACCAATTGAAATCAAGTTCATTAAACTTTAAAATTTTTTCTTTCATTAAATATAACTTTTAATTAAATTCCTTAAGGAATTTTTTAGAGGTTTTTTTGGACTTCGTTTCATAAAATTTTGGGAAATTTTTTGAAATTTTTAATTTTACTTTAAAATTTTAATTTTAAAACATTTCAGTTTTAACTTAATTACTTTAATTATTTGCAATTTTCACAAAAAAAAAAATCACTTAACATTATTTACAATTTTTCAACAAACACACATTTCACATTACAAACAGTTTAATTTTTCATTCACAATACCACTTAACTTTATTTTACTTCAAGCAAACTTACATCTCTTGATTGGCTCAGCTACTTAACTCCCTAAATAATTGATAATTACTACCTTTAGGATTTTTAATTTTTAATTAATTTTAATAATGTTTGCAAAAAATTTTTAATATAACAAAGATAGCAGCTTGGCACTCAACTTTACCTACATAAGCACCATCTATATAATTTGAAAAACACACTTACTTCTCTTTCAAAACACTTTTGCAGACCCCAACACTCATATAGTAGGTAAGTTAGAATTAAAACTTACTATTTACTTGCTTTAAGTATATTTAAAAATTTTTAAAAATTGTGTATTAGTTCTTTTTGTTTCTCATTGGTTTATATGGATTATGTCTAGTTCTTTTTTAGTTTCTTTTTATTAATATGCATATTCGTGTTGGGGAGGTTTCTGTAGACAAGGGTTTCTAAAATACACTGATTTTTTTATAAAAAATTAATTTTTTTTAAAAATTAATTTTTTTTAAAAAAAAGTTTAATACTTTATTTTACTTGCTTGTCTCTTATAAGACTTCATTAGCATTTTCCTTTTAGAACTTTAATTCTTAAATGCTAATTTCTATGGGTACCACTTTATTGGTATTTCTTTTTACTTTTGTTTTTGACTTTTACCCTTGCCTGCATGAATGACGAAACACAAATTGAATGATTGGAGAGTTAGGTTTGGAGGCAACTTCCCCTTGATAAGTCTGTCTCCTGCCTACTCAACAGTCATTCACTTATGCATTTTTAAAAAATTGTTTGGTTTAATTTTAATTTGCTAAATTAGTGAATTTATTTTCATAGATTGGTTTTGCACTTGATTTGCTTATGCTTCTGAATTTAAATGATATTGTAGATTAGTTCGAGAATTAAATCTTTTATATGTTTGCACATTTTATTAAAATTTTTTTTTAAATTACTTTGGCTTTCTTTTTTTTTTTTTTTTTCTTTATTTTGGCTTTAAATTTGCTTTTTTACTTTATACATGTTTGTTAAAATTTAAATTTCTTTAAATTTAAATTTCATTCCTTGCAGCAATGGTGCAAAGAATATTTAATTAAATTCAATTTATTCTTATGAAGCAATTTTATTGAGATTATGTATTTTTTGTTTGCCTATATTGTAGAATTTGGTGCTCCTTTTACTTTTTAAGTGAAAATATATTGATGTGTACATGGAGAAAGTAAAGGGAGTGCACAATGCAAGTTTGTGCAGTTTTGGGATTTTTTTAAAGTGAAATTAGATAGATGTGTACATGGATAAAGTTAAAAGAGTGTGCAATGCCATTTTTGTGCAATTTGGGGATTTTTTTTTTTTAAGTGAAAATAGGTCGACATGTACATGGAGAAAGTCAAAGGAGTGCACAATGCCATTTTTGTGCAATTCGGAGATTTTTTTTAATAGAAAATAAGTCGACGTGTGCATGGATACCGACTTTGTGCAATTGTTCGTTTTGTTATTTTGGCTTTGCGTAGTGGCGGATTTTTGCCAAAAAAATCACCGCTTCGCAAGCCAGAATCATGCACCCGATTACGTCATAATAGGGTTTCCATAACATTCAACTACTCAGGCTACCATAAATCAAACAACAACTTGGTGATAAATCAAACAACAACTTTGCCATAATACAAGGGGGACCTTAAAGTCTACTCTACCCAACTCATCCAATTTCCACAGTTATCAAATGCAGAAAAAATTTAAATGAAACATATAATATTAAAAAGGCTCTAGTGTAGAATTGGGTGCCCCTTCGATTAGCGACAATTTTTTGTAAAATTTTGGCGATGAAATCCTATTTCTGGTTACACCATGATAGTGTAACTTTGCTTTAGCCTCCTGATATTTTTAAAATAAAAATAGATTGATGTGTACATGGACAAATTTAAACAGTGCACAATGCCTAGTTTGTGCAATTCTGGGATTTTTTTTAATGGAAAACAGATCGATGTGTACATGGACACAGAGTTTATGCAATTCTTTGACTTTTTATTTTGGTTTTGTGTAGCGGCTATCTTGAAATTGTGTCTTCCTGCCGCTGATCTTGACATCAAAAAAGAATCGCCAAAAAACAAGGGCCACCCAATTGTAAACTTTTACCATTAAAAAGACTACATAAAAAGTATAACATCTGATTTTAATTCTAAATCTCATAATGCACAATACATAAGTAAAAGTGGTAAGAATTTTATGAATAAACAGAGTTACCAGCATTTAATACTGATATAATTTTTAGAAATTTTAATTAATATGTATCCACACGCATAACAGACAATTTTTAATTAAAAATAACTGACTAAATTTTTTTGTTTTAAGGCTCATTTACAAAATTATTATTCTTTAAACTTGCATATCTTTTCTCATTTAATACGGTACATGAATCAAAAAATTATGCAACACGGAGCCTAACGTAATTAAACAAAGAAGAAAGAGATACACAATAATTTGAAAATTATTTTCATTTTTATGTTCTGCTTATTTAGCTGGGCATTTGGAGTTTTTATCTGACGCAATAACGATGTGCACATTTACAAATTTCTTGTGTGACTCTTCTTTTACTATCAATTCTAAACATCAAACTTTTATGACATATATATTCATTTCAACTTACGTATAACAGAAACTAACGTAGCTGGATTTCCAACAAACTTTGACAAAACTACAGCGCCCCCGCTTTCCACTTCAAGTTATCAACAAAATAAACCAATGAGCAATTGCTGTTTGGTGCACACATGAGGTTCGTCTTTGAGCAGGGCAATAATCAATCTTGTAACACGTATGGACAGACAAAAAAAAATTATACAAATGAGAAAACGTTTTCCTTCATTCAACACAAAACTTGAATTTCTTCCGCTGATTGATATGAAATCTCTTATAAGGTAAAAATGTCGCAAAGTTAAGACGCAGTGAGAAATATTTTTTACCATTTCAAACGCGAAACGTAATGCACCGAAATTATACTAAATAAAGCATAAAATGAATTATATGAGGAAGACAAAGTTTATATGGAATAAATAACGTCTAAAGAGAACATATTTACAATCTGAAAGTCTGAATACTTTATTACAGCATTCTTTCAAGGAACATCAAGCTCAATTTTCATCTTTTCATACGAGATAAGTGTCATGCAAAAGATATAGAATGATTTCGAAAGCTCCTAATTTAAAGTCTGCGGCCGGTAATAAAAGGCAGCTGTAGTCCAGGCTGCTGTAAAATCTCTAAAATATATATTCTTTATTTTTAGTCCAAAGGGGCTTTGCCCCTGAAGGATTATTGTTTTCATTTTGCGTTGAATCACTATAAATGTCCGTTTCACTTTTCAAACTGTTGCCACCAAATGTTAGAGTTCTGCATTATATTTGAAGAAATTAAATAATGAAAAATCTGCATAAATGTATGTATTTTTCTGGCATTGTGATAAAACAACGGTACATAGAGCCATCGAATTTTGAATGGCGTAATCCTCCTACGAATATGGGCATGTGGAAGATCAAATTTGAAATTTGGAGGTTGTTTTATTATTGATTTCATATTTTGTAAAACTTTAAGGAATTTTTGATGAACAAACTCAACGATTTAAAATCGAGCAATGGCAACATTGTACGGGAGGGGAAAAAAACTTTTTGATCTCCAGCTGGCGGAACTGTGTATGGGAAATTCTAAAGATATGATCATTTTAAAGCTATTTTACGACATTGCTGTTGAACTGAATTTTATGGTTTAAGTGCAAAGAGCATGATAATAAATAAGTAAAGGTAACACCCAAAACGTTAAAAAAACGTTTTGGACGTAATTTAAAATCTGAAACCTTTCAAATTTTTTTTTTTTTTTTTTTTTTTTTTTTTTTTATATCTTTTTGGTGTTTTAGATGATTATTAAACACAAGTTTGCAAAGAATATATTCTTTTTACAAATCAAAATATATGTTCTTCAATTTGGAATTATATATTAGGAAATCGTACAGTCTTTAACCTGCAATTTTAATTTCATTTGCTTATGATTTCAGATGTTATTCCTAGCACAAATTGCGTATAAGGTTTTTTGAAATACCTTGCATTTTCTTTTTCTATTCCAACAATAACAATAATTTAAATATTCCAACAACAGCTTTTACCATTGGATACCTCTAATTTTTATTTTGTAAGGAGCAACAAATTGTGTACTGCAGCCTACACATTTGCTGCCTCTGTTCCTATAATTTGCTATCATTTTTGATTGTCGAATTGTGGTGAGTTTTCATAATTCTGTATTTTTTCAGTAGAAATGTGAATATAAAAAACTTAATTTGTTGTTTTTTGATAAGTAAATTTTTTGTAGTCTTAAACCAGAGCACGCATAAAAAATATTTCAGTTGATAAGAGATCGTATAAGTTTTTTTTTACTTTATTTATTTATTTATTTATTTGAGTTCTGCATCAATGGCAGTAAATGAGAATGTTTTCTTATTTTGCTTAATTCATTATTGCAAAGCATGAAAACAGTATCTTCTGAGGGTAGAAGACTTTCATGAAGTATATTTAAAAGAATATGGCTTCTGTTCATGCGACACATGAGAAATATACCATGCAGCTAGCCTGTCCACCAGCGTTCAAACTATCAGTGTTCCTTAGTCTTATCCATTCGATTGCTGATGAATACTAATTATGGAAGGTGGTAGTAATTCTTCTCAGTGTAAAAATTTTGTGATTATTTTATACAAGGTTTCTCACTTTAGTCTGCTCCAGAATCTTCGGATGAAGTTATCATTACATGATGTATCATCGTTTTTTCTCATATGAAAACTGCATTTTTTTTTTCATTTGGAATAATTGTTCCTAGTAGCAGGATAACTGTACAAAAAGGATCTTTATAATTGTTATTCTCCAAGCAGATTTAATAAATTAACATCATTCAGTTTATTATACTATTGTTATGTAAAAGTCAAATATGGCTTTAAGACAAATGGGTGGTATCTGAGTATAAGTGTGCATTTAATTACATAAATTAACATTCATTTATTGTTTTGCAATAGTTAACACTAATGTTGTTTTCTCAATATCTAACATGTTAAGCAACAAGTCTATTTTGCTTGGTTTAAGGTTGGTTTCTAGGGACCAATGTTATATTTAATGTGTTAAGAAATTACTGATGAAATGTTAAACTGATGAAAACCACTTATTTGTATATAGAAAACAAACAACTGAAATTTTCAACTTCAGGTTATATTTTGTCACATGCATGCATATGATCCATGTGCGAAAAATATTTTAAAATATAGTATTAAAAACTTAAAATTTACTGAGTTGAAGAATTTATAAAAAAAATATTCATATTATGCAACATAATCTGATCTTTTGGACAATATATATTAAATTGTAATTTATCAACCTAAATAAAATTTTCATTAAAATATCTAGTGGTGAACTATTAAAATATTAACAAAGGGCACACACTTTATTTTATAAAATCAGAATACCAAATTATAATTAAATGTTTTAATTTTTACACAAACAGAAAACAAATAACTGTGTATGAAAAAAATGAAATAAGAAATATCATGGAAATTACAATAGCAAATAAATTTCATGAGATGCACAATTTGTGCCGGAACACTCACTATTTTCTTTTTCTCACCTCACTTGATCATTTGAAAGGTTCTAAGAACCAAGCAGAGTTTTTTCAAAAAGTTTTTACATTCTGCTAAAAGTTTCCCCATTTAACATTGTCTTTAAATCTAAAATTTATTGTGAGTCAAAAAAGATCTTATTGTGGAAATACTTTTTATCGATCTTAAAGCCCTGTTTAGCTTCACCTCTGTTAATACTGTTACGTTTTTCTTTTCTTCTGCTGACACCAGTTGTTACGTTATTTTCTTCCTTCACGTTCGTACGGGGTTCGTAGATTTGGAGTGAATAACAACGACACTTGACGAAGTATCGAAATACACTTTATTAGCCAGTATTGTCAGGACAGCTTCAAAACACGTTTTACACTCGTCGATGAACTACTCTAAACACACTGACACGATCAGCGACACAGCCTTCAGGTTATCAGGCTATCACGGTGGAGACAGCTTCCTGCAAAGCACCCGACTCTGCTTTCCGGAGTACAGCTCCCGACTCTGCTTGGTCGTTCTTGGAACTCCACTTTCTCTCGAGACTCTCCACGCTACAACTCGCGATGCACTCGACGACACACGAGCACAGCTCCCGACTCTTCGATTCAGTCGTTCGCGGAACTCAACACGCTCTCTCGACGATGCACTAATCGCGATACACTAACAGACTCCTTCGGTGCACTCGACGACCCACTCGGCACTCGCTGCCCGGCTGTCAACTCGATCGACTCCGCAGGGATTGACTCTATAGATGAGACACCAACTCGATACTGACTCTCTCGCACTCTATGCGAGGCACATACACTGACTCGCCCTCTCGACGAGGCGCACACTAACTGACTGCGGACCAGCAGGGTTTATATAGCTTTCGGCTTGTGTGCGAGAACATTCTGGGCTAAACCAGTAAGACTTCGTTCCAAAAGGTTCTCCAACCGTCCATGGTATATCGCCAATTTTGTCGCCAAATGGGCGATTTCTCGCCAAATGTGGCAACCCTGCCTTTGTTTGCCATTTTTATGGCAGCCCTAAAACTGCTTTGCGGGGAAGCCATCTTACCGCACCTGTACATTTCGTAACAATACCAATAGTCTCCATAATAACTCTACTTTCCTTTACACTATTAGTAATTTCATTATGCAGTTTTTATGTTAAAAACCCTCTCGATGAAAATCCCAAAGTAATTTATTTATATTTCATGTTTTAATGTAAAATTTAATATTTGTTAAAGTACGGTTATAACATGCAAAACATGTGATTTTTCTGGAATAAATGATAAACAAATAAAAAGAATATCGGTTTCTCAATTGCAAGACAAATTGAACAAAGGACTCGTGCAAACTTTGTACATTTCATCACTGGAGATATCATAATAGACTTTTCGTACTTCATTTAATGTTGAAAATTCCTAATATTACTAATACTAAGAATAGGCTAAATAGATTTTACTTGTATATACATATATCAATAAAGCCTGACTAAGGCAGGGGCATACGGGGCAGTTGCCCTGGGCCCCTCCATCAGAGGGAGCCCTAAATCGAATAGAAAGTTTATTTTACATTTCTTTTTTTAATCAACATTTTTTAAACAAAATATCTTTAATAAAATCATTTTTAATCAAAATAATACAATAATAAAATAATACAAAATAATGCGTCAGTTTTTGCTATCTTCTTCATTAGTCTATAATATGAACACAAAAAAATCTATATTTCGTAAATCCATGGCTTTCCAGAGCGGAATTCAGCTAAAATTTCACAATTACGATGGACAAATTTGGCCAATCAAAATCCTGTATCTTTACATATCGCAAAATGCGATGTGTTTACAAAAATACGGGCTTCTGATTGGCTTAATTGAGCCGTTGTAACTGCGAAATTGTGAAGCGGAAAATGCGAAAGAAAAAGAAAACTAAGTAACGGTAAATAAGCCCAGGAACAAACTTGTGACAGCGAGGGAAAATCTGACTAGAGAAGCTGAAAATTATGTTTGGAAAGGGGCCGATAAAGGAATCAATTCATTGGCGAAAATGCTAGAAGAAATGCCCAACTCGCGAACCAGAGAAATACCAACTCGCGCCGATAATTTTGCATATATGCAAATAAG